TCCACCTCTTCTATTAGCAAATACAAGTCTTAATTTATTTCTTTGTTTTTTAATTGCGTTCTTAAATTCCTTTTTATAAATAACTGCTTTCTCTTTTTCATCTTCAATTTCTAAATCTCCAACTACTTTATTAGCTCTTCTAATAGCCCTTGCTTTCTTTTTAGTTAAAATTTCTTTTTTCTTTCTTTCCAATTTTGGCTCATTAATTTTTAAAGGTCTACCCTCACCTGGTAATAACTGATCATCAGAATCAATAGCATATTTATCAATAGCTAAATCTTCAAATTCATCTTCATTTTGTTTCAACATAAGTGCATACTTCATAGTCTCTTCATCCATTTCCATATCAGTAGAACAACTAGACACTTCAATATGTTCCTTCTCCTCACTTTCATACGGTGGTGCATTAAAGAAATTTTCCTTATCAAAAATTTTATCATTAAAGAATGAGTGGACATTCTTAATATTTTCAATTACAGATTTCTTTTCTTTCTTTTCTAATTTGGAAATTAAACTTTCAATATCTTCATCTTCTTTAATTTTCTTAACTTTAACTTCTTTTTGTTTATTTCCTTTCAAATCATCTAATAAATCACATTTAAAATTATTCTTAGTAACTTCTCTTATAATTTTATTCTTTAACTGACCAATTTTCTTATAATCTTGTTTATTACATAATTTTAAGTCAGAAAACATACTTTTATATTCATCAGTAATTAAATCACATTCAAAATCCACATTAAAACTACCACAAGTATACAATAATTCATTATTTTTTGCTTTAATGAAATCACTTAAATTAACTTTTTTATACTCATCAATTTCTTCATCAATAAACTTAAATTGAACTTTTATATCAAATATTTCAGGATCGATATATTCAGGATCCTTAAATCCTCTACAAACAACAAATATTTCAGCAGATTCATCCCTGGAACTTAATGGTTTGGTAACATCAACATTATTAAATAAAATTTCTAATAAATTAATTATTTTAAGAAAATTTTCACTTCTAAATACTTTCGTTACAAATGTTCCATTCTTCTCTAAAAATTCACTAGCTAATTTATAAGCATGTAAAACCAATTCATTTTGTACAAAAAAATCTCTTGTTTTTGATGTTCCAAAATTAGGAGCTCCATCATGAACAAAAATATCTGCTTTATGACCTTCAAGTAATGTAATTAACTTTCTTCTACATTCAATTGTTGTAATATCACCCATAATTGTTATACAATCATTCATTGGTTTGATTGGATTTAAATCAATTCCAATAATTTTTCTAACAGATGGCATTTCTTGACTCAAAACTTGTAACCATCCACCCGGTGCAGCACATAAATCTACTGCAATCTTAGCCTCCTTTAAAAACTTATATTTTCTATTTAATTCCAATAATTTAAATGCAGCTCTACATCTATATCCCTTCTCTTTAGCCAAATTATAATATTTATCTAATCTTTGTTTTCTTACTACGCCCATTTTATTAAAAAATTATGGGAAATTTTTTATCAAAATTTTTTAACCCCAAAATGCAGTTAATACTTAAACAATTAAGTTCATGTAAAGTAGTTGAATTGAGTGAAGATAAAACAGTTTTTGATCTTGAACAACTTATTTCTAAAATGTATTCTTTACCTGAGTATAGTCTTTATAAAACATCTTCAACTAGAGTTTCAGATGTTTATAGCAATATGAAAACTATTAACGTAACTGTTCCAGTGAGAGGTGGTGGTAGAGAACTTCCAGAAGAACTTTTGGTTATTTGTTTAGAAAGAATGAAGAAAACTATGGTATGTCGAAAATGCTATGCCACTAAGAGAACT